TTAGTTTTATAGGTTTTTTTTTTTTTTGTCATGTTCTGGATACCACTGAGACCTACAATCCTTCTTCTCCCTCTCACAGCAGGACTCCCAGAGCTCAGCCTAATGCTAGGCTGTGGGTCTCTGCATCTTTTTCCATTAGTGGCTGGGTAATAGTGAGAGCAGGAGCTGTCTCTGACTGTTGCCTGCTTTTGGGACCCTTTCCTCCTACTGAATTGCATCCTAAACAGAGTAAGAAGTGATTAGTCTCACTGCAGTTTGATACCATGGCTGGCTGATAGCTATGGGAGATCTGCCTGTATCTAAAGAAAAACAGTATAAGAGTGGATGGGCTGGGGTGGATTAGTGGGGAAAGGTGGCAGAAACGGAGAGGGGGTGAGGCAAAGGCAGGGAGACTTTGATTGGAATGTAAAAACAAAAATAAATAAATAAATCAACAATGGCAACAAAGCCAAAACATTGTAGCCTGGGAAATAAATGTGGTGAGAAAAGTGAACTCAGCCACAGCCTCGACCATTCAGGAAATGTGTAGACAAAGACTGTGGTTGTTCTGAGAGGAACATTCCAACTAGGAAGTCTAAGGTGTGTAACCTTAAAAGAATAACAGTACTGGGGAAATTTGAACAACATGCTCCCTAATGTTTTTACTTGTCTTACTTTGATTACAGAGGAAATTCTCCAAGCATTTCTTACTGCAGAGTGAAGGATGGATCACTGCCCAAGGCAAACCCTTGGTATTGGCCTAGTTTTGAAGATTGAAACACTTCTAGTCTTTCCATCTGATTATTCCCTGTTGTCTTCCATTTTACTTAAAAAAAGATTACAATTTATATTGAGTTATGTTGTTATAAGCAATTTTCCCACCAGCCTGTTCCCACAGCCATGTCAGCCCCAAATAACACAAAGAGATGCTTTTTACTATCATTTCTTATTGGCTAGCTCTGTCTTAAATATTAACTCATTTCTATTAATCTAAGTGGTCTTATCTTACCAGAGAGAGTCCAGACCTCTTTTCTCAAGTCCCTACATCTTGACTCCCTTCTACTACATCTCCCAGAATCCTCCTTGTCTCTTATTGGCCAACAGGGCTTTATTTATTAACCAATAAGGAAAACATATTTACAGAATGACATCTCCCATCATTATGTAAACTGTATCCTGATATTGAAAATTGATTTTTGAGACCCTCTCTGTTTGTCCTGTATTAAAAACCTCAATTTTGTGTGGTCCAATGTTAAAAAAAAAAAAAAAAGGTATACTGCTGTAGGCACATCTAAGACTTATATGTGGCAATCAACTTTGGACATGGTTGATGCATGCTCTTCAGGTGGAGGTTCAGTTCCCAAGCAGCATTTTCATCAGAGCCACTACTAAGTCTAAAATCTGTTCTTCAATTACTTCTATGAAAGAGGTATTTGTTAGATGTGACCAAGAGGCTTTATCCTCAGGTCTACGTGACATGGTTGATAGCAGCAAACCAAGTTTTCATGGTTAACTAAATGTTAGAGTTTATGATGAAGAGTGTCCTTAACTGAACAATGAAATACTATGGATATTAACATAAGCCTAGGAAGGGATCCTTATCATCATCAAGGCAAAGTGAATCTCTCATTAGGAAAAATTTAGTAATTGGGCAGGAGACAGGGTGTTTAGTCATCAGTTTCTAGGATGGCAAGAAATTCTCCAAGTTATTGAGAGAATACTATCTCACTGTTTGCCAAGCCCTTGTCACTAAACCTATTATTTTAATTTGTTTTCCTCTTAGTATATCTGCCCTCTTACCAGCCAGCTCTATACTGACCTCATCAAGTGACCACACTGTTTCTGAAGCTGGTGCTGACATTATATATAAAAATAATCTCTAGTTAAGTGGAAGAATGTCTTCTGTGTTCCTGGCAAACCCAAGGCACATAGAGGTTTCAAGAGTACTGATCTTTGTACATCTGTTTCCTGGTGTCATTTCATCAGTCACAGATGAAGAATGCTAATTACTTTGTTTATACTTGTGTGATTTAATGAGACTAAATACTCAGCCAGCCTTCAATAAGTGCAACTTATTTACCATTGCTGTTTTTAAGTAAAAACAAACAAACATAAAAAAAGAAAAAAAAAACAAAAAACAAAAAACACGCCAAGCACATTTTCTGGAAATGGGGGCATTGTGCAATTCAAGAGGGGATAATTCCAAGGGCAGTTGACAGGTTATATATAATTTGTAGGCAGGTTGAGTAGGAGGGGAAGCATGGGGATTCGAGACCAGGGTTCAAATCCAGAGTGGGAGAAAGATTAAGTATAATGGAAGCACTTATCATAAACTATTCTTCCACATCTCCGAGGCCAAAGCTAAAATACTAATATATATTAGGTAACGTAAGAAGCAGAACTATATTTCTGGCACATTAAACTCATAGTTTATGTATTATTACCTTGGTTTCATTTTTGAGTACCCTTTTCTAGTTTTTAATTTACTCTTTGAGAGAACTGAAAATGTGACATTAAATAATAATATAGAAGAATATCATCATTATTATTCTAGAAATAAATGTATATTTTAAATTATCTTCTTTTTTGTTTTTAATTTATGAGGGTTTTGTTTGTTTGTTTTATTTTTGAGACAGGGATATTTTGTAGCTTTGGAGCCTATATTGGAACTTACTCTGTAGACCAGGCTGGCCTTGATCTCACAGAGATCCACTTGCTTCTGCTTCCTGAGTGCTGGGATTAAAGGTGTGGAACATCACCACCTGGTTTAACTTATCTTCTAATCTATATAATTTCAAGTTATACCCAACTGGATCCATGCTTGGAATGTAGCTCAGGAGGAGAGTGCTTGTCTAGAACATGTTATCAGCTAGGTTCTTCCCTAGAATTATACACATCTACTACCCACACTGATCACTGTGCTGGGATGTAGCTCAAGGGTAGCATGCTTGCCCAGCAAGTGTGTTGCCTACATTATCCATGCAAACATGCATACCCAGATGGGATCCACCTCATTTAAAGAGTAAAGTAGGTAGAGAAGATGAAAAGGCAACACTGTCCTTATGTTTGGATTCAAATGGTGCCATTGTTTTACTCAGCTGTTAAGAGCCAGGAGACAGCAAGCCACACCCTGTGGGCCAGACTGCCTGAGATACCCAACCTGACCTGCAAATGCTTTATTGAAATACATTCATGCCCATTTGTACATGGTTTGTGTCTCTCTTCGTGGTGCAAAAGTAGAACTGAAACTATATATCCTACAGAGCTGAAAAGATCTCTAGCTCTTTATAGAAAGGCTTACTGATCATAGATTTCAGCCATAAACAACAATAGAAGCTAATAAGCAAAGAAAGACAATAGATAATAACGGTTCCCTTATGTTGTAAAGGAAATAAAGACTGGGACCTGAGAGAGTATTTTCTTTTTAAAAGCTGGTGAAAGTCTTTCTTGCTTAGGTGCTTAATCTAGCTATTTTTTATATTTAATATATAATATATTTAAAATATAATATATATTAATATACATATATTAATATAGCTATTCCTTATATCAAGACAAAAGGTTGTGTGGCAGATGACAGAGAAACTAGCTGCTAAACAGCAGGGCCATTTAGAGTCTGACTGATTTTTGAATGTAAATTTGCAAAGCCTATTTCCAAGATGAGGTTATGAACTAAGTTCATTGGAATGAGTTAGTAGTAACAGAAAACCTGCTAATTTAAGAGACAGGTGGACTTTCAACTGAAATGTATCTAGCAATTCAAGTAAGGGAAAATGTCCTTGAGTTCCTGGTCATCTGGGGATGACAATCCCTGTATCTAGAAAGTGCAGGAGGATTCAAGGCACCTTTAAATGTTCATAGAACCTCCGGTGACAAAATAGTGGGTTGGGCTTGTGTGAGGACTTGAAATGATGTCATCAACAAAGAATCACAGGAAAACATGCTGAAGGCAACACATTGGATCTCAGCAGACCCCTGGCATGGCAGCTTCCTTTGTTCACCTAAGAGTCACCTGTACAACTATAATCAGTGAAAATACCTTGATGTATTCTAAGAACTTAGTAGCTTTTGGGGAGAAAAGCTTTTTATGATAATATCTTAAAATTGTTTTTATTATTTATAGTAATAAACTTCTTTTAGTAATAATTTTTCTTTTTTTAAACTCCAAAGTCTGTAGAAAGACATGAGGTCAAAGGAAGAAATTGACACCTGTCTTCCTTCTAGAAGGCTGGGAACAGTTGCTTTATTTTCTGGCAATCTTTTCTATTCTAAAAGCCAGCCCTCAGTGAATGCCCCCAGATCCTTAACATTCATTTTCAGTCAATAGATCCCATCCTTATGCTTATTCCAAGCCCATCCTCCCTGGGTCCTTGTCCTGAGCACTGCTGTTCAGTCCATAGGACCCATTCCTGTGTAAAAAGGTTCCAGGTGCTCTACTAAAGGATGCAATATGCAAAGGAGTCTTTGATGTTGCTATGCCTAAAGTTTTGTGATAATTGTCACAAGGAAACTTTTTTCCAGTGTAAGAAATAATCGTTTGGGGTCAGATCCCAGAAGTTTTGACCCAACATCAGCTAACTAAAACCAAGTTGATCCCAAGTTCCATTTTCACCTCTCCATGTATGTAGAATAATACAGATATTAAAGCATTTAGGGAAACATTGGCATGTGCTATTTTGATGTTTAGACAGGACATAATGAAATATACTTGTTCTAGCAATTATGAACAAAGACCATGGGGTTTCACCCTTGTGAAATCAAACAGAAACAAATGAATTGCAAAGGTAGAAATCTGTAGTTTGAGCTAAGGACATTTAGAGAAAATGAGTTTTTACTTTTTATTTGCTAGGCAACTATGTGCACATGTTAAGTTCTTTCCTAATGTGCTTATCTTCAGTCGATACTTTCTTGGCAATTTCTCCACCCATGATTGCACACTCTTTCCCTTTATGCACTTAGCTTTTGGCTGTATGTAAAGTCACCTCTCTCCTTGTTCTGTTCTGACTTCTTGTTGCCCATAGATTCCCAGTCACCAGTGTCCATGAGTCAGTAGGAGGAGCAGATCTTCATCAGTCCATATCAACACCAACTAGTCAGCAGGAAACCTGAGCAGAACCCTGGCAACACCATGTTCTGCAGGAAGTTCAAGGATCTCAAGATCACTGGGGAGTGTCCTTTTTCATTACTGGCCCCTGGTGAGGTTCCTAAGGAGACAGCAGAGGAAGTGGCAGGAGGCTCTGAGGGCTGCCAGGCCACTCTCCCCATCTGCCAGGACATTCCTGAGAAGAATGCCCAAGGGAAATTTTCCCAGAGAAAGACAAGTCGCAACAGAGTCTACCTACACACTCTGGCAGAGAGTATTTGCAAGCTCATCTTCCCAGAGGTGAGTAATCTTCCTTTAACAATGATAATGGCATTTGAGAACTGGAAAAGAAAAGGTTTCAAAAGAAAATATTTAGAAATGGGTTTCTCACTTTGAAGGGCATGATAAACAGAATTTCCTTGAAACATATGGAAACTGTCTTTTTAAATACCCATATTCCAAATTGTGGGTCATCTTCAAAAGTCTCATATTTTAAATTCCTTACTTTTTTAAATTAACTTTTTAAAATTTATTTTGCATACCAACCACAGTTTTCCCTCTCTCCATTCTTCCCATCCCCTCCCTCTACATCCCCTCTGTCTATCCTCCACCCCCATCCACTCCTATCCCATTCAGCAGAGGAGCAAGCCTGTCATGAGAGTTAACATGAATTCCTCTTAAAAAAAAAAATCATTAGACTCTGACAAACTTCATGTCTTTGCTTCATGGCCTCAATTTCAGCTTCCTTTGTCAGTAAAATGGAGCTGTCTCACACCTATCTCTGATTGTTACTTTATAGTGATTGAAACCATCCTCCACTGACCCATAACTATCAGAGAAGTGGGCTAGTATGATCCTGGAGAATAATGCTACTTTAACAACACAGGCCTGGGGTGGGGTGGGGGTGGTGCCCGAGGAACAATAGACCAGGAGTGAAGCTCCAAGGAAAGATAAAACAGAGTTAGCAGAAAGTTGAAGATGTTTATTTTAAAGATCTTACTTATTGTACGTTACACCTTCCTGACTTTTGGAATACAAATATTTAATTATTTCTCCCAATCCCAGCCAACAGACACCCAGCTTTGCTGGAGACATAGCCCTTCCATTGTAGTGTAGGACAGAATGAAATATAGGATGGCAAATGGAGAAAGCTCAATATTGTTCTTTAGTGATCCCTGTTGATACCTCATTTTGCTCATGGATAATTTTCTTCTCCTGATTCTTTGTGTTGCTTTGCTGTCTATGTATTGAAGAAACAACCGGGTTGCCAATCTCTGACAACTAACTCTGAATTTGGAAATACCTTGAGTGACTGGCCAGCCAGTAGTTCTGGGAGTCTCTGAGATTTTTTCTATGCCATGTACTTTCTTTGTTCTATCCTTGTCACAATCTGGAAGAAACAGGAAGACTACTCACTACCGTAAGACAGATAGTAAGAGAAAAACATGAATAACAACACTGAAAGAAAAAACACAACCTCATACACAGAAATGAGGCATGATCCATTCCTCACATGAGTATCTTCTTTGGAAAAGAGAACTCTCAAAGACCATGGCTTCTTGGATTTTTATCACACTGGTGGTGCAGAGTAACTGCTGAGTGGAAGGCTCTTAAGAAAAGGAGTTTCCCATGCATGTGCTTGGAATGCTCCTTTGCCACTCTAAAGGTGCATTGGGTCTTTCACTGTCCCTGATGTAACTACTGGGGAATATGCTGAACTATTCCTTTCTGAACTTATCGCTCATCTGTTATCTCTCAGGCTCTTTGCTGTCACAGAGTCAGCAGGACATATTCAAATTCTACCTTTTGGCACATCTACCTGTTTTTCTTCATCCTGTTATGGATGCGTCCACATTCTCCATTCCTAAATCATCAAAAAAAAAAAAAATGTGCTTTATCCTATAAAATTAAATTCTCTTTGAATTACATTTGTTTGAATATTTTTATATGTATTTTCTAAGCTTGATCTATATATTTAAAACTCCATGTCCTTTTTGAAAAGCTCTGGTTATTTTTTTTTTTTTTAAACAACATTGCCTTCTGTGACTAGTGGAAAGTCTATGAGGAGAGATATAAATAGATTAAGGCAAAAGGAATTTCCTAGCTTGGATCATATCCAGAAAGTTCTTGACTTTCCTCTGTGCAAACTGAAAATAAGAGTCAATGATCATGTCCCCTTGCATAGATATTTGCAGTTTTCATAGAGGATATGAAACTGAACATTTCTTACCAATGTTCACCTTTTCGTTTATCAAGTAGAAATAAAGATACATTAAAAGAGATTCAAAAATGCTTATGGGCAGCATTGCTTATGTATGTCTCACTGAGAGACAGAGAGAGAGAGAGAGAGAGAAGAGAGAGAGAGAGAGAGAGAGAGAGAGAGAGAGAGAGAGAGAGAGAGAGAACTTATAAAACTTATAAACTCACGGAAATCAGTAAAAGTACCAAAGTATCAATATTTGGTAAGGATTATTAGTTCAAAACAGTATAGATAAGATAGGCCCATGACTCTTGAAATAAACAATTCTGGTGACAGATTAACTTGAGGGGTTAAGAAGTAAGCTGAAGCATAGATAACTGCAGTCTGTTTTTTTTTTTTTTTTTTTGTTTGTTTGTTTGTTTTGGTTTTTTGTTTTTTTTTTTTTTTGAGTAGAATTCTGAAATGTGAGTAGAGTATGTGGTGGAGGGCACTGTAGTTCTTTGTGAACTGTGGATGGAATACCATTTAAAAAGGGAGCAGCATGTGTCTGGCTTGAACTCTACAGTTGAAATATAGGCAGTATGTGTGTCCAGGGAGGCTTCTTGGCCAAGAGGAAGAGATGGTATGGATTTATGCATTGCAGAGGACTTGACATTACCAGCTGACATTTTCTGTTGGGGGCCATTCTAAGCTTGACTCTCTGTGAAACTTAGCGCCAAGGGTGAAGCCCAGGGCTGAGCCACTGCAGCCAAACACAAAATAGTCTGAGCTCATGATTCTTCCCAGGATTGAAAAACACATGGGAAAGAAGTCTTGGTTCCCAACAAGGCAAATGAATCACACTCACCATCGAGCAATAGTTACTATTTCCTTAAGGGAAACATTAATAAACTGCTGCAATTCTTCCTTATTATTTCCAGTTTGAGCGACTGAACCTTGCACTTCAGAGAACACTGGCAAAGTATAAAATTAAAGAAGACAGGTAAGCTATACCACTTTAGTTGTATGTACCCCCATCACAAAGATACTGTTAAATTTAATCAATCCTTACTGAATATATTGACTCATGTTGAATTTTTATTATATAGCCAAAACTGAACTAAGCATGCTAGCAACTATAAATTCAGAAATAAATGCACTTACTTTTAAAGAAGGGTTCATGAGAGGTCGAAAGTTGGCCTGTGTGTTTTTTTAAAAAAATCTGTTTGTATCGTTGTTTATTTAGTTATTATTCATAAAGATGGTCACATGTGCTTCTGGTGTATAAACTGACTCTCCCCGTTCTTGGTATTTAATTTATGAATAATAGAATAAGTAGTGAATGCAAACTTGCAGAGTAAACATTGGAGTTTTGAAAGCCAATATGGTGGGCATAATCTACAAACACCTTCATGTGCCTCTCTCCATAAATGCAGTCTGCTCTATGGATTGTCTGGGCTGGATTTTCCTGCTGAGTAGCTGCAGTCAGACTTCAGGCAGGCAGCTCCATTGAGCCAAGAGTCATGAACCACCCAGAAGAGTGTGAATCTGTATCTGACAGAAGCTTTGTTTATAGGACAGACCTGACAAGCATCCCAGAGGCGCCTCTGCTTTTTCCCACAATTCCCAGGCAGGCTGATAAGATAGCCGCAGGTCAATCTTACTGTGCTACTGGGGCTGTCTGTTCAAGTACTTGGCAGCCAGCTCGCTTGAGATTTATTCTCAGGCCTTTGTGCTCTGAAATGTCCCTGCTGCAGGATGGGAGATCTGTTTGCTGCCGTGCACACTGTACAAAAGCTCAAAGCAATCAGTTCACAGCAGACAGAAAGACTTGTGAGTGGCCAGTAAACCCATTCTGCTGTGTTTGCTAAAGCAAGGGATATTTAGTTTAGAAGTCACTGAGTGCTGTTTGGAATGACAACACTATGCTCTGCTCTTATCTGACAGTATGAGGGTCAGGAAATTGCGGTAGTGTTAGACTGAGGAGGATCCCTCTTATTTAGGGAAAACTATCTGCTTAAATGAAGAAAAAGAAAGAAAATAAACATTTGGTATTAGGTATGGTAGTGGATTAGCTAACAAAGTGGGTCTCAACATCTAAATTCAGTATAATGTTATATGATGATCCTTGGTCCAATGATCCTTGGTGTGTTTAGATAAAATATTTCCACCTAGTACTTTACATACTTAAAAGTATCAATTTGTATGGAGCAAGGTGGTGCTCTGAGCTATTTTCCTTCTTGAAAATATTGCCCTCTAAAATTTCTTAAATTATGCCATGTTTTATGAAAAGATTGTTTAAAATAGAGAAATATAACTGCATTTAAACTTGGCTCAGCAAATGGCAAATTGAACCCTGCAATTAAATAGACATTTTAATGCTTTTAGTACTTGAATAGTTTGTCAGATTTGGCCATAATCATTCACTATAATGAGAAGTTTTCAAAAAGCAACTAGGAAAACTTATCTCACAAAGTTGTCCAGTTTATACATGAAGACAATGACATTATATATTGATGAGCACTGGTGATCATGTAAACAGGGTTGGTCTTAAGCACAGAAATGTCACAAATTGTCTTAGGAACTACAGAAAAAAGGAGAAGATGCTGATTTGTAGCCATGACTATAAAAACAAAAACCAAAACACACACACACACACACACACACACACACACACACACACACACACAAATCAAACATATAGAAAAAGAACTTAAAACCCGAAGGAAAACCATATCTTAATAACTAACCATCTGGTAAATAATTTAAGTAAATGCCATAAAAAAACATTGCCCAGTTGGAATTATCTCAGCCTTCTATTGATGCCCGTATTTGCTATCATTGTTTTAAGCTTCCTTTGTCTAGAATGCAATGATTGATGAATCAAACAGATCTGTAACTAGTTTGTATATATAACCAGGCATAAAACTTAGAGGAATGTCAGAGATAATTATGATGATTCCTAATTTCAAGGACTCCTCTATTTTATGTTTTAGCTTCAGAATCAACAGCTAAATCCATTGTGGGTAGGCTTTTTTTTTTTTTTCTCTCTCTGTTTAATGTTTGACCACTTGAGAACTTATTAGCATCTTTTTTTTTTTTTTTTTTTTTTTTTCCAGTGCTAGTCGTAGAACCCAGGCCCTCCACATGCAAGGCCGCTCCTCTGCCATTTAACCTTGGTTTGCTATCCTCTGCTTGACTGTTACCCACTCCTGGTTATGTGCCACTGTAAATTCTCTTTCTCAGTGGCCTGTGTAAAGTGCTTCATGACACATGAGGAATCGTGAGATACTCCATACTATATATACTTTTGGGTTTTCCCCACAGTGTTTTGAGTTGTCCAGGTCACCATTTGATTCCTATATAGCAAGCCAAGATTTCCTTCTCAAAGATAATTATCTAACATTGTTATCTGTATGTTGCATATAATCTGAATTTCCAGCATTCATTTATCAGTTTATAATTTAAGACACTTAATTATTTCCAGGGAATCTTCAGAAAAAGAAGACCTTGAAAAAATAATTGCAGAACAAGCAATTGGAGCAGGTAATGAATAAAATTGTTTAAGTATATGAAATTCGGAAGCATATCACATTCCAGAATAACTATTTCCATCAACATATTTGTATTTATTTTTTAGCGACTCCCAGCTGGAAGTCTTTGAACTGTGTGTGTGTTAAAGCGAAGTAACCCTTCCTATATTATATGTTTTAGTGTGTCCTGGAAAATTTCCTCTTTTTATGTTGTTTATTTACTGAGAAGTAGATAAGCCTGTGTGGGAAGCTGGTTCACAGACATTCACAATTATAGGCTTTGGTTTTAAACCAAACTATGTCTTCCTCGTTTGTATATGAAAAATTTTGCTCAACAAGGCAAGTTAAAGAGTATTTTAAAAGGTTGGAAGTAATCATGGGAAAATAGTCTGGCACAGCTCCCACATTAATAATTAGCTTCAGGCAGAAGATAAATGAGTGACAGCTGTTGAACCCTTTTAGAATATAGGTGTGAAAACCCAAGAGGTTACAGGCTTACAAAAGCCCAGTTCTACAAATATAATGTTAGCAGCAGCTACTTTATACTGAGCCATTCGTGGGAGATAGGCACTGTTCTAAAATAGTTCCCATAGGTCACAATCTTCCTTAAAGAGGGCTACATTGTTTCCTACTTTACAAGAGAAAAATATATGAAACTTCTGTGCAATAGATGGACACCAATTGCAAAAAAAATACAACCAATCAGAATGTACAGTTAGGGAGTCCAGTGCCAATGGATACACATACAAAACATTCTCATATCTAAAGCTAAGGGAATATTGCAGAAGAGTGGGCAGAAAGATTGGGAGAGTCAAAGGACCAGGGAGTTTTCTGTAAGATTGTTTCTCCTAGTAATATAAGAAGGTGTACACATAAAGTCTCACCAACATGACTGCCCAAACATGGGCTGAATAAGGACATCACCAATGGGCCTGCCAAACTGGATGGAGAAAAGCCCACAAGGCTTCAACCTTACACAAAGAACTACAGCAACTGAAGAATCCTCAGTGTAGAAGTAGTATTCCTGGGAGAAGAACATACCAATTTATCATCCACTACTAAATGCTCAGCCCTGGAAACTTACATTCAAATAATATTACACAGACTGAGTTGTTTATGTTTAGAAATATATATGTATATACAGATGCATATGTGCATACAACAACAATTAATGCAAACAAGAGGTGATGAGTTTGAAAGAGAACAAGGCAGGGTATATGGGAGGATTTCGAGGGAAGGGAAGGAAGGGGAAGTGATGTAATTATATTACAAACTCAAAAATAAAAGAAATAATAAAAAATCTGGTGCCTGAGAAGATGCTAAAGGTGAATAATACAATTCACTTAGGAAACATCAAATAACAAACCATCCTGAAACAGTTTCAGGTTTTAAATTAATTTCACTTACACTGTTCCAGCTTCTCTGGAACTTCGAGAAGACTCATGTTGTGTGGTTAAGAGAAAGACAGAGGCTTCATTCGAAATTGGACTTTGCCCTGGAATTCTAGCTATTTTATAGTGACGATAGATACAAATACTGCATTCTACTCACTAAGTCATTCTTGGTTTAAAATAAAGTTTGAAGATTGTTAATCAGCGTTACCAGAATTCTAAAAGCTTGTCTATGTTAATAAGTTGAGTGTGAGCAATTGATTTGAGTTGGAACTCCTAAGATAGTAAAAGAAGTTAACCACAAATCAAGGGTGGTTGCGTTTGGTAGCAGCTGCCAGTGGATCCGAGTTCTGAGCTGACACACTTGATAGCCTCCCATGTTGTGTGCTTGCAGGAGTCCCCGTGGAAGCACTCAAAGACTCTCTGGGTGAGGAGCTATTCAAGATCTGTTATGAGGAAGATGAGCACATCCTGGGCGTGGTGGGCGGCACACTGAAGGACTTCCTAAACAGCTTCAGTACGCTCCTGAAGCAGAGCAGCCACTGCCAAGAGGCGGAGAAGAGGGGGCGGCTAGAAGATGCCTCCATCTTATGCCTGGACAAGGACCACGACTTCCTAAATGTTTACTACTTCTTCCCCAAGAGAACCACAGCCCTGCTTCTCCCTGGTATCATCAAAGCAGCTGCTCGAATATTGTACGAAAGCCATGTGGAGGTGTCTCTGATGCCTCCCTGCTTCAGAGGTGACTGCACCGAATTTGTGAACCAGCCCTATTTGCTCTACTCTGTCCAAGTCAAGAGCACCAAGCCTTCTCTGTCCCCAGGCAAGCCCCAGTCCTCGCTTGTGATCCCTGTTTCGCTCTTCTGCAAGACCTTCCCATTCCACTTCATGCTGGACCGAGACCTGGCCATCCTGCAGCTGGGTAATGGCATCAGAAGGTTGGTGAACAAGAGGGACTTCCAAGGGAAGCCGAACTTTGAAGAGTTTTTTGAAATTCTGACTCCCAAAATCAACCAGACCTTTAGTGGTATCATGACAATGTTGAATATGCAGTTTGTCATACGAGTGAGGAGATGGGATAACGCTGTGAAGAAATCATCAAGGGTAAGGAAAATGCAATATTTTATTCAAAATGAAACGAACTGTTTAGTATTTAAGGGAAACAAACCACAAAACAAATGAACACGTGCCATTTTGGTAACACATCTATCTAAAATTCTAAAATAATTTTAGCAAGTAAATTTCTTCCTATGTACTTTTTCTCGTCTATTTCACTCATTACAAATATTTATTGACTACACTTTGCCTCTTTAAATCCCAGTGACGGTGCAGGTGTGTACCTCTCATCTGCAGAGCTTTTACCTGACCTGCAGGGAGACCTGGGATTTGATCTCAAGCATTCGATAAAACTGAACTGGTTTTTATCACATGCTTCTAATCCCATCATTCAGGAGGTAGAGGCAAAGGAGTTCATGGTCACCTTTGATTATATATCCAATTCAAGGCTAGCTCAAGGTAAATGACACCCTATCTCAAAACAAGTTTTAGGGAAATATGGCTGAGTGGATAAGGGTGGTTGCTATCAAGCCTCTATTACTATGGGGTGGAAGGAAAGCACAACTCCTACAAATTGTCCCTAGACCTCTACATGTGCTGTGACATGATATATGTATGCCCTTACATGCATACCTACACATGCACATAAAAATAAAGGTAGAGATATTTAAGCATAAATAAACAAACAAATATAAAATCATAATGGAGAACTTTACAACCAAGTTAGAAGTGTTCATATGAAAATGTATTTATTCTTATCAAATAGATCACTTGTTTTAAGTAATAAAAATATTGTTGTATAAAAGCAAAGCTGCATGCTGTAAGAAATGAGTAAATGGATTTTAATCAATACGTAAACATACATAAGTAGCTTGATTAATTGCTATCCAATGTGTGTATGTGTGTGTGTAAGGGAGGGCATTGACAATCATTTACTCTCAGGAACAAAAGTCATACACATAGACATGGAATGGCCTTAAGAACATTACCCCGAAAACACTCACTACCTGTTCCTCAAAATGAAAACAGCTGTATTGCTATTTTTACATATGTATGTATGTGTGAATTTAGTTATTTTATAATGATGAAAATGATGTACTCTATATCAAAATCAAGAGAAATGATAAATGCATACTCACTTATTGCAGCAACAGCAAATCCCTACAACTATTTTTGTCAATGAAGGACATTGGTTATCCATCCCTGTTGTTGGACATTGGTCTATCTCTATGTTTTGGAAGCCGTGGATTATTGTACTGCATGTTTATGCATGATTTTATTTTTGCAGTCTCTCACTGATGAGTACTTGGTTGCTTGAATTCTGATATAGTGTAAACACATGTATGTGTACTTGTCTATATATACACAAGTGAATTGTGTTGTTCAGGACACTCCTTTAAGCCCTTCCTCTTGCAAGGCCCTCTGGGTACATTGTGACTATAAGTTGGGTTATACTTCTCTTTATGTTTGGGAGAATAGCCTTTGTTAAGAACTGAAGGTGAAATTGAAACACAGACATAGCCATGGGTCTTGTTAGATATCTTAGACTGAAATCCCTGTGTGAAATAATCACTTCTAAAAGATGTTTCCTTATCTATATCGAGACATAAGAGAAAAAAAATGTCCAAATACATATTTAGAGAAATTGTAGCTTCAGTGCTTTCCAGATGGAACAAGTAACTCATGGCAGAAGAGAAGAGAAGCTTGCTAAAATAGAAAACCAAAAAAGACTTCTGTATTGAGAAAGGATGAACAGAAACTAGGTTTTAATAGGCACTACATTATGTGTGAACTATAACTCCAGATTAACCACATAAGAATATCAGAAGAATCCCAGCAACAATAGCACCAGTGTGCTGTTTCACAGGGTCTCAGAGGGAGATGATTTTCTCATTGCTCACAGCGGCTCATAATGATTTTATAGTATATCCTGATATATTCTTCAAATGCCTGTATGAATTTTAGAACTGACAGAAAACTGGTTAAGAAGCATATTAATTCTTCTGTATCAAATTGTATCCACTACTTTTCTTGTTTCCAAATGGCTTGTGGAACTTGACTAATACACTGTAATTGGTTCTCCTTTGCTTTGAAGGTTATGGATCTCAAAGGCCAAATGATCTACATTGTTGAATCAAATGCCATCTTGTTCTTGGGATCACCCTGTGTGGACAGATTGGAAGATTTCACAGGACGAGGGCTCTACCTGTCTGACATCCCAATTCATAATGCCCTGAGAGATGTTGTCTTGATAGGGGAACAGGCAAGGGCTCAAGATGGCCTCAAGAAGAGGCTGGGGAAGCTGAAGGCTACCCTGGAGCATGCCCACCAAGCCCTGGAGGAGGAGAAGAAGAAGACAGTCGACCTTCTCTGCTCTATCTTTCCCTGTGAGGTTGCTCAACAGCTGTGGCAAGGACAAATTGTGCAAGCCAAGAAGTTCAGTAATGTCACCATGCTCTTCTCGGATATTGTAGGATTCACTGCCATCTGCTCTCAGTGTTCACCCCTGCAGGTCATCACCATGCTCAATGCTCTCTACACACGCTTTGACCAACAGTGTGGAGAGCTGGATGTCTACAAGGTAGGGAAAGTGGGACAAGGATGGTGTAGCTGGTAGAAGTCACCTTGGAAAGGCACAATGCCTAGCACCTTAGTGAACCACAATGCTGCTGAAAAAGCTCTCTGCATTTGGGTCACACAGGCTAGATCTGGAGGTCAGGTATTGTGCATTAATTAGATGGGTGTTCTCCAGCCAGAAATAGCTCAATAAGAACTAATTGTTCCGGAGATGTGTGCCACATTGTGTTCTAAAAATGTACGTAGAATGGAGAGAGATTAGGCTGAATGGATGATTCTCATGGTGAAAAGCTAGGCATTAGCCATCCATGGACCAGCCACTTAACTATGGAAACTGAGTTAAACAAGAGCTAATTACAGTTATGACTCAGAGAGAAGAACTTTAGCCTTTGTATCTTTAAAAATAAAGAAACAAAAGATTTATGCAAATTGTCCTAAAATAGGTTAATTCAATGCACAGTTTACTTGATACTTTTCATAGGCAGTTAGCAAATCAAAGTCAGCTACTTAAGATGTTTAGTGCATCTTCATCAAAGGCAGATATACTAAATTAAAGGGGCCCACCTACTGATTCTGTTCTCTCCTTTTGTGGCTTTGTGAACAGAGCAAGTGATTTCGCAACTGTAAAACAGTCAAAGCAATAGCCCTGCCCAGCACTCCCATCCATGAATAATGTCCCATGTCCCATAACAGGACTGTCATATTAAGATTTTGTAGATGCTCAGTTTCTGAGATTCTTCAAGAGGTGTCAGGGACCACTTAAGTGTCTCTCTAGATATGGGACCCAAGAACACTATTATGTACTGGATGCCAAATATGTCATTTCTTCAGAAGATATATTATAAAAGGAGACAAAAATGAAATTTCAGATCCTGCCTCTTTCATTCAATGAAAAGGTTTTACTTGTTTAAGTTCTTTTGCCTCATTTTAGATCCTGGCAGTAAGGATGAAACATTCATCTGTGTCTGACTCTGTTTAGTTTGTCCCAGTGGTTGGTAACTCCAGAGTTCAGCCCAACACACAAGAAATAAACTACTGGGAAGAAGCAAATATTATTTATGGGAATTCATAGACCCAGTCTTGTTTCTGAGGAGATGCTAGCAGCCTCTTGTGAAATTCCTTACAGGAACTCTCCAGAGGGAGTTGTGATTTTCATTGGGGAGGGTGGGGAAGAGGACCTTGTATAATTACAGATAAGATAATTGGCATTGGTTCAGTTACATTTGATGGTCTCTTGTGGAATTCGTTGTTGATTTCTAGTTATGTTCTCCAAGGAGAATGGCTCCTGGATCCTTCACTCAGAACTGAGAGAGGCACATCTTTCCCCATCACACAGACATCTATGCGTGCTGCAAAAGTACTTGCCACCCCCTGATTTTAATTGCAATGGCTATATCAAGGATTTCTGAGCTGTATCCCCTCCAAGAAGAATGACAGGAATCCACAGGGTTCCTTGACTAACTGGCTTCAGGGGAGCCAGAAAGCACACCACTGATCACTCTTCCCTCAGCCCTCATTTCCACCTTCTCTGATTCTGCTTGGAAATAGCTGAAAATAGCTTATGAAGGGTCTATTTTAAAACATTTTTAAGAGTTTTGTACATTATATTTTGATCATATTCATTTCCCTCCATGAACCCCTCCTACCTGTCTTCCTACCCAACTGCATGTGTTCTCTGTCTCTTAGTTAAAATCCCCCAAGTCCAGTTTGTGTTGGCCAACTACTTTTGGAAATGGGGTCTGCCATGGAGTGTGCTTAATAAAGCAGGTGTATCATTAAACAAAACTGACTTTTCCTCTCCCAGTAGCAATCAAATTCCAAAACCTCCTTCTCTGCTGGGGCTGAAACTCCACTTCTACCCCCTTCCTCCATGCTGGGATTTTGTGTGCGTAGTTTTCACAGGATTTGTGCATACTGTTTCAATCACTGAGAGTTCATATGTGCATCTGCTTTGTTGTGTGCATAAAATCGTTTCCTCGAAGTCATCTTCCACATCTGTTTTACCATTGTTTCTGTCCCCTATTTCAAGATAATCCCAAACCTTGAGGGGACAAGTTTCTTGTTCTCTTCACATTGACAGTTATGAGACCCAACCTTAATTACCATTTATTGCAAGAAGAAGATTCTCTGGCAAGGATTTGGAGATTCACTGATGTGTGGGCATAATAATATACATTGCAAATGATTTTGATGCTACATCCATTTAACAGTACATTAATAGTAGGTTTTCACTCCAGCCCATGACCTCTCTAGCCGCAGGTTTCTGGTCTCCTTGACAGTATCAAGTGCACATTTCATCTTTTAGAATTGGTTTTAAATAAAATTTTTTTAACATGATTGGTTACTGCCTTAACATTCATGTGCCATTGGTCTCTATATCTTCCCGGGCATGTCATTAATGTAGCTCAGAGTGTTCACAGTTGGGTAAGATTATAACATTTTCTCAAATAGCCTTCAGACAACCTTCTAGCACTAGCACTATGAAAGTGGGCCATTCCAATGGAGTATCAGTTAAATTGTTCTGTTATATGCTCCAAATACATAATGTCTTCAGCAATAAGAGCTTACTGCCAAGTTTTGGAACATAACCCATAGCATTCGTAATAGATTGTATTTTTAAGGGTGTTGTAATTTTAAAAGGTGGCACACAAGAGAAAAATGCCACTCAACAGAGCTTGGGTGGGGGGCTTTTTATTGGGGGAAAGTGAATGGGAAAATGTGGGAAGGGAATTGAGAGACTGGCCTTTGAGGACAGGAGCAGCAGAAGAGAAGAGATAAGTAGAGAGTTAAGAGACAGAGAAAGACAGAGAAACAGGCAGAGAAAAAGAGCAAGAGAGAGAGAAAGAGAGAAAGATTAGAGGTGGACAGGGTCCTTGTAAAGGGGGACATTATGAATGTGCACAGGTGATGCTCTTAGTGGCTGTAGCTGAGGGCATATTCTGTCAGAACCTCAAGGACAGGTCAGTATAGATGCCTGAATACTAACAAGGGGACCTATGGAACCTCCATTAGTCAACAACACAAAAAGAAGTAATTCATTCCTGATACTGGCTTTTATGTATAAAATGGTTATAGCATAAATGAAAATTACTCTAAAGAATAGTTGATTGCTTTTGTTACAGGCAATAATTATGTGATTTCATTTTCTTCTTGCATTTCAGTCTTTTGAGTATTATCCTGTTTATTTCTCTTTTCCTTTATTATCTTAGCATAATATTGTTAATTATCCAGCATTTGCTTTCATGAGTGGTCAATAAACACTGTTGTTCCAGTCTGAGAGAAGATCACACGTGGGGAGCAGAGGAGAGTTAACAAATGTCCACTTTCTATTAGATGTGTTGTATACCCAACTATTCTAGTAGGCATAAGATGTGATGCTGCAGAGGGAACAGGCACCAGAAAGTACAAGTGTGAAGTAATACTTCTACTAACTGTTGTGCTGGGACACTATGATAGCTTTTGCATTAGGAAAAGTGTTCCTTAAGAAAATTCATAAGGCGAAAGTATTGTTCTCTGTTTCTGAGTGAGGAAAAGCAAGGTATTGTTGCCTGTTCATACATTACGGGGTGCAATTAATCCAATGAATATAGTCAGAGCCTTTATACTCTAGTGTGGTGGAGAAGAAGGTATGGCTATAAATAAAATTCCAGTTGATGTGGTTTTATTTTTTGTTTTTGTTTTGTTTTTTGTTTTTTTTTTTGTTTTTTTTTTTTTTTAAGAAACAAAGCTGATTAAGGAGTAGAAGAAGTGTAGATGCTACAAGTTCATAGGTCTATACAAGACTTAAAACAGGCATTTCTGATAATGGCATTAATGATAAGCAAACAGGTATCTGCTGCTTGTTCTAGGTTAATGAATAAGAGAGATTGTGCTTAGTATGGTTGAGTGATAATGGAACTTCAGTGACATGAGAAAGAGGTACAATGAGGAGATAGAGTCATACTTTAGCAAATACAAGTTCAGAGCAACTCTGGATGAATCCCAAGTACTATAGCTTTTCCACTGATAATGGAAATTATTTAAAGTAGCTCATGATTGTTCCCCATTCCCTTTGCTCTCTTCTTAATTTTATAATTCATAATGGACTTTATAGATGAGAATAGCAGAATGTAAGGACAGGACAAATCCAACAACTGAGAATAGAAGATATATATATATATATATATATATATATATATATATATATTGATAAATTAATTCTTAGCTCTCTGTAGCTACTCACAGACAGATAAAGTTGCTTGTGGAAAAGACAATGGTAATGATACTAAGCATATTTTAAATCTAAACAATAGCTTGTTTTCTAATAGTATTCTAGCACCATGGTTTTTTTCTCCCACCATCTTGAGAATTTGGTTTCTATCCATTATTTGTGGTTGCTTTACACGAGTGCCCTTAATAATTGCTGAAATTCCCAGAAATCCTTAGCAAAGCTCTATCTCTTTTACTTTTATGGCTACTGGTGTCTCAGTTTTACATCATACTTTTTTATTGCATTCATATGACATTGTTGGTGGAGGGTAAGTTCATATGAAATGTAGTTTTATGATGGGAAATTGATCTCACTATCAACATTTACTAGAAATTCAAACTATGAGCTGAAGAAATGCTTCAGTCATTAAGAGCTCGTCCTGTTCTTCCAGCAGACATGAGTTTATTTCTGAGCACCTACACAGGGCATCTCACAGCTACACATAAAATTCCAGCTCCAGGGAATAAAATGCCCTCTTATGACATCTGTAGCCACCCACTCACACATGGCTTACACACACACACACTCACACACACACAGGCACACATACACAGACACACAAATGAATAAAAATGAAATCTAAAAGGGAAATCTAAAGAATAAATCCATTTGTTGTATAAAAGCCATTTTATATAGTTTTTGTTGTTGCTTGTTTTTTTTTTTTTTTTTTTTTTTTTTTTTTAGGAAGGAACACGTGTGGTTAGTAGCAAGTCTACAATAGAGACCATCTGATTGTGTCTTCACAGACCATACAATCTTTCAGTTCACTCCTCTGAGGTCAGGGGCCAGAACCTCATTTTTCATTTCATTTATGAAGTGAAAATTTACTTCTGACACTGTCCCACTTACCCACAGGGCCAGAGCACTCAGGTTTCTGTTGTATGATTCTGCTGTGCTGGCTCCTTCTGAGCTCTTGTTTGTAATGGACAAATTATATAATGTCTAGGTGGAGACCATTGGGGATGCCTACTGTGTGGCAGGGGGATTGCACAGAGAGAGTGACACCCATGCTGTCCAGATAGCACTGATGGCCCTGAAGATGATGGAGCTCTCCAATGAGGTCATGTCTCCCCACGGAGAACCCATCAAGGTAAGACAATGACAAATTGCATACTAGCTTGTTGTAAAAAAAATCTAGTGCATTGACAAGTGTTTAGTTTTAAAGAGGAAAATCTTCTCAAACTTGTTTAGGTGGGGGAACAAATCACCATGTGCTGTTACATAGCTTTGAAAGATAACTGAGATAAGTAAAAGTGCATTTGAAAGTTAGTTTGTCAAAAACATCTCATAGAAAACCAGTGCTTTACCTATGGTTTGGAATCATATGCTACACCTACAACACTGCAGCTTTGGCAGAAAACTATCCTGTGCAGAAAATGTCTTCTTGTACTGGTAGCTGAAAGACAAACTGACACCTGCTAGACACTGAACCAGCAAGATGAAAATTCTTACATCACTATTGTTCCATGATATGAGATTGGTAAGTGGGCTCTCTACTAAACAAGTCCTAGACAATCACAAGGATCCCACAAACAATGCTTTCATTTGAATACACAAGGGATACAGTCTTTATAGAAAGTTGACCTTCTAAAACCCAATGCATGTATGTGACATCCACCCAGCTTTATCCATCTAGATAGTGCCAGGCAGTTTAGAAAATTAAGTATTTGTTTTTTAGCAATAGCAGAGGATAGCCCCTCAGAAAATGGGTTCCTGAATGGCTGATCTAGCTTTATAGTCGTTCACTGAGGTACACAGGTTGGGAATGGTTAATTTCACTGCCTGGTATGTTTTTATTTGAAGATTCTTTATAAAAAATTAATAAAAATATAAAACTGAAAGAACATTGACTTTGAAACCAACAGTATTCTCTATGCATGTGACATTGTAAGAATTCTAGATGAGATATAACTCAGAGTAATGTACTATTCCAAAAAGAAGATAAAAGCAAAATGTCAGGTGCTGATTTAATAGATCAAACCTGATGGGATCATAGGAGTTTTCTTATAGTTAAGTTTACCACTTAATCTTATAGAACACTCTTTGCTTAATGACGTTTAGCAATGAGCCCCCCACCCCAATACAGAATTCTGTCTATTCAACTTTCGGTATCCAACTCCAACAAAGAAGAAAAACACAAAAATAAAGCTATAGTAAACACAAGTTTAGCCTTGGCTTTCTGTAACCTGAAGAGAAGCCATGTATCTAAGCCTTCACAACATTTACCAATTCATCTGTCACCTCATTCATATATTGCTGTACCAGACACTTCCCAACATAAACTAGTATATATCCACAGCCATTTGTCATGCACTGTTTTGTACATCCTGAGTTTGAGTAAGTTAGAAGAAGGCTGCCAAGTTTTGGGTACAAAATATCTGGGTCTCTCACTAAGAATAACCAAGTAGATGGGGGTATGTGGGAGAAGTTAGGGTTGTAATGCATGAATAGGAGAATCCATTCCAATATAGCAGCTTTATCCACCTTCTGGGTAGGATGGTAGAAAATATGGTATCAACTGCTATTGTCTATTGTCTACTCACACACTACATGCTCCAGCATGGTGGGCTGAGTAGTCATACCTTTCTCATGGTGGTGAGTCCAGTAAATGACTGGTAAATGCTGCATGGCCTTTTATACATAACCTTACATAGAACATGGAGGCATTTCTACCTATTCTACTGTTCAGAACACTTGTCTGCTCAGGGGAGGGAGCATAGACCCAAATCTGAAACACATGGGTACGGGATACCTTGCAATTATATTTTAAAATCTTCACAGTATCTCACATTAGATTTAGCTTCTATACTTACATTTTTAGAGAATGAATGTTTTTTTTTCTAATATTTTGGTAAGAGAGTTCATAACATCACAATAAATATTAAAATTATCTAGACTATTAGCAATAAGGCCAAGATTGTCACATAAATTATTTTTATATATCAGATCCATATCAAGAGATTAATGGCAGGGTTTTTGTTAGTTGTCTCAATGTAGTTTTTATTATTTTTGTAACTAGCAGAAGTACTTATAGGTCTCTTTAAAGATAATTACCTGGATAATAACAGGTTAGCCTTAGTGACCTGTGAAGTGAGACATTAAATAGGTCTCTTATTGTCTATTCATCTTCAGTTCTGTGGATTTAGAGACTCAATGTGAACAATACAGAGTTGAGTGGGGAGTGCTTTCAGCAGACAAGGAAACATGAGTGTGTGTGAAGGATTGCACACTCTGAGTATAGACATTGCCTCATTTATTTTGGGAGGCAACATTTGAAGACTGGCCAAGTTCCTTGGAGTCTGAATTGAAGTCTTGGATTCACCTGATCTCCTCATGAAAAATTAAAAACAATTTCCCTGATCGTTTTTTTTTTTTGTTTTGTTTTGTTTTTCATTTGTTTGTTTTTCTTTCTAACTTTGCTGTTCCCTAGTATAGTTACACATGTGTATCAGCCACGAATTCTCTTCTCCAGTGCTGTCCTCACTCATTCTCATCCATTCAGGCTTGGGTGACAGACAATGAGTAGACAATGGGTAGAGAACTCAGGGTTGGACTTCACAGTCAAAGTCAGTAAGTGGAAGGAAAAGGGACATCCACATCAGGTATTATGCTTGCCTATTGGCCCAGGAGGTAAAATAGGCAACTCCAAACCAATCCTCCAATCGAGGGCTTCACTATTATAAAGTTCCCTTCAAGAGTTATTGAGAGATAACTTCTCTTTGTCTTTCATTATTTCACTGTCTTTTCCCAATGGAAAGAAGTCCATTGAGACATGTTGTTCATCTTATGTTATGGGTGAACTCTTGTTCTTGAATTTATGGTAAATGTGAGATTGAGAACTGGAGAAGGGAAAGAGAGAGAGCTGTGTGGAAGGACCATGTGAGGCTTTGGCAATATCTGTGAGGGAAATAAGCTTACATATTCCTTATGAAATAAAAGAATAAAATATTATGTTAAACTTTTTTAAAACATCCAAACTTCCATATACACAGAGAAACTGGAGCACTAGAGTGTGCCCTAGAGAATACCAACTCTTTCATATACCTGTATTAAGATTGCATATACAGCTAACAATATTGTGCAAATGTTAAGTATATAAATCCATAGTCTCCTGAAGATGAAAAACCCTAAGTACAGCAGGCAGCTAAGATTCTGGCTTTAAAAATCATCCACAGGTGTGTTTTAGAGATAAAGAAATAAACAGAGGGAAATGAAGGCACAGAAAGTAGATCTTCAGAAGGCTGCTGTCGTAACAATCTGGTCTGAAAATAATGAGGAATATGTGGTATGACATCTTGAGAGATTCTAGGTCATTACTATTAAATGTCTGAAGTTGGCTGTAAAACAAAGAAAAACTTAAGCTGGAAAGATGGCTCAGCAGATATGTAAATACACTGTGCAACCTTGGTCAGGTCTGTTCTCAGCAGTCAGATATAGGAAAGAACCCACTATACAAGGCTGTCCTCGCACCTCTACAAATTGCTGTGCTACCTCCTATCCCCATCACTTTTCTTTGTTTTGTTTTTTGAGGCAAGATTTCTTTGTGCAACTTTGGCTGTCCTGGTACTCACTATGTGGATCAGACATGTCTCAAACCACAGACATCTACCTGCCTCTGCCTCTGCCTCTGCCTTCACCTCTGGAGTGTTGGGATTAAAGGCATCAGCTAGCACACCCAAATAATAAATACATTTTTAAAAATTAAAAAATAAAAACACAGAATCCTTTAATTGCAAGCAATACCTCAGATTACTGAGGAACTGGATCTTCTAGAGTAGTCCATTTAAAAGTATTTCATCCCAATTCCAATATTTGGAGATGGAGGCAAGAGAATCAGACATTCAAGACTACCCTGTGCTATAAAGCCAGTTCAAGGACAGCATGGACTAAGTGAGACTTGGGCTAAAAATAAAGAAAAAATATTCCATCCAAAGGCTCCTCTGAGAATTCATAATTCTAACTCCTGTCTCAGACTGTGTCTTCTATTTAGATATTGCCTAAGTTTCATGTTCCTAGATTTTAGGTTCCTGAGTAGGATAGACTGTATAGAGTGTAACTTCAGGGATCCAAGTCCCTGACAACTATAATTTTCTCTATTCTCTGTCATTTCCACTTCAATTTTACAATTCCTTTTCCTCAGTTGCTACTCATTTAAAGAAAGGACTAGTGTTTGGCTTAATTTACTGTAGAGCAAAATGTTTTGTTTTAGATCACATACCTTTTTATTTTGAGATTGAAGTCTGCCTATCTTGGCCAAACTGACCTCAAGCTCTAGAGTTCAGTGGATCCTCCTGCTTTAGTTTCTGAGTATCTAGAGCTACAGGTAGCCCCTTTTTGTGGCTGTTTCAGGTATTTCCTGTTAGTGTCTAGAAAGAATGTCTTTCTCTAATTTGAGGGCCAGAGCAGCTTTGTGAGAGTTTCCCACGGGTTCTTTGTTATTCTGCTGCAGTGACCCTGAGAGGCCTGAGAACAAGTTTATTCCACATGTTAAAGACAGGTGAAATAAAACCAAACACCCAAAGGAGCAGAGTTACCAGGTATGAACACTGACTCTGACCTGGTAATGTCTCTTTGCATGAACCTTAGAAGATGGCACACTGGAAGAGAGGAGTGTGATTGAGTTAGTTACACTGGTTAGAAACATCTAGACAAGACATTCAAACAATACTGCCAAGAGCGAAGTGACTTTCCAGTGACCTGGAACACTGTTCTTTTGTTTTCAGATGCGAATTGGACTGCATTCTGGGTCAGTTTTTGCTGGAGTGGTTGGAGTAAAAATGCCCCGGTACTGCCTGTTTGGAAATAATGTCACTCTGGCTAACAAATTTGAGTCCTGCAGTGTTCCACGGAAAATCAACGTCAGCCCTACAACATACAGGTACTAATTACATTCAGGCCCTAAAATGCATGGCTTTCACTGTGATGCAGTTGTCATTTTTATATGTCCTCTTTCATTTGCATTGGAAATCTTATAGAAAAATGAAGTGAAACAAGTTTTAGAATTCTTACTTCAACTTACTTTAAGGCATTTACTACCCTTTGGAAATAACTGTAGCCTTAATTCTTAACAGATATTGCATCTTCTACATTTTTTTTTATTCAAAATGTCAGTTAATTTTCTCTGTATATCAGTGGGCATTCTGATACCAACTGGTGTCCTGCAGTACTGTTACAACAGTAGCTACCCAGAGTTAATATAATTACATTTTACAGGTGTCTATGCTCAACTAAACTGATTAATATCAGACACCAGCCACATTCCAAGAGTGCTTGGGCTATAGTACTTTTGGCCAACAAACTACAGAAATGAGGGCTTCCTTGACTCCTTCAAGTTTGTCTTCTAGAATGATGTCAGATTCAGGCAACACTTGCCTGAATCAGTATCAGCCAAAGGAAGAAGCATATAGGGTTGGCCTGGTTCGGGGCTCCAAATGCTAAGTTCTTATGTTTCTCCTCATCAGGATGGACATATTACTGGCTCTTGCCACATGAGTAGAATCATAACCAGGAGGCCCTCCTCTTTTAAAGGTTAATGCCTACATTCCCTGCTTTCCTTATTGATGGAGGATGAACTATCCCATGGCCTTGGTTAATAAAATGCCAATTCCAGTCCCCTGTCCCTGCCCTCTTCTAATCTGGAAGATATTTTTGGAACCCTGTCCCTACACAGAGTCATCTAATTAAAAAAAAACCAGGTGGGACCCAAAGGGTTCATAAATAAATAAATAAACAAACAAACCACAGTAACTGTAATTCAGGAAGTTGTCAAGGATTTGAGAGCCACTCCTGACAACCAAGGACAAGGGATAAATCTCCTGTTTCAGAGCCGTAGGGACCAAAGGGGCTTCAGCAGAGGAACCTGTCAGAACACTAAACAATTTCAATTTGTGTTCTTGAGGACCTGCAGCAAATGGTGACATTTTGATACAGGAGCCAAGTGTCGCATAGGATCAAGAGGATCTCTTAGTGTGAGCAGTGGCACAGGCCTGAAATTCCAGCTACTTGGGAGGCTGAGGCAGGATGAGATCAAGTTCAGGGATAATTTGAACAACAATGAGTTCAAGGCTAGCCTAGGAAACTCATCAGACTCTGTCTCAAAATAAAAACTTAAAGGAGAGGTTTGGAGAGATGGCTCAGCAGTTAGGAGCAGTTGCTGCTCTTGAAGAGGACTCAGATTCAGTACCTCATTCTCACAAAGTAGCTCATTACCTTTTGTACCTTCAGTTCCAGATGATCCAGCACCCTCTTCTGGCCCCATGGCCAACCAGGCACATATATAATGCACTATACATGCAGATGAAACACTCATAAAATATGAATAAATAAATATTATTTTTTAAAAGTTAAAGGAAGACTAGAGACCAAGCTAAGTAGTAAAGGGCTGACCTAGCTAGAATGAGGCTGTATGTCCAATGCCAATACATCCAATTGGCAACTTGAGCCAGTGACTTCCTGTGTTATGATATCACTAATACTTATGTAACCAGAAAATAATCATTCTATGCCCATAGATTTTATTATTCTATAAATTTTGTCCTATCCAAAATATTCCCTTTATTGGAAACCCAAGGGTAACAGAAAGTACTTAGATCTCTACAGATCACAATAATATTGTACTATTTAACCTTTCGAGAACATAAAGCCTTCCATATCGCCAAGTCAGTCTCTTGCTGTCCCCTAATGTTTATGCTCCTTTATACAAATAGGCACCAAACAGTTGGTAGAGTTCCAACCTGTGCAACTGAAGCTCATTTGTGGGCTGGAGATCTGCCCCCCATTGATACAGTGCTTACCTAGCATGCTTGACGCCCAGGCGTGAATCCACAAAACTACATAAACCAATAGTATTTGGCCTGCCTCTAATCCAGTATTTAGAAGACAGGGTCAGGGGTTCAGAAGTACAAGGTCATCCCTAGGTACATAGTGAGTTGGAAGCCAGCTGGTGCCACTTGAAGCACTGCCTCCAATAAGCCAGTCTTGAACTCACTGAGCTCTGCCTGCCTCTGCCAACCAAGTGCTGGGATTACAGGCACTACTACGCCTGACAGGAAACCCCTTTCAAGCACATTAAAATGATGTTTGCTATCAATAAAATTTAAGTAATTTTATGTTTGTGAATTTCATTACTATATAAATCACATCATCCCCAACATTGTATAATTAATCTTCCTTTTAATATGAGTCAAATGTATAAGTTGAATTTTCTATGGTTTTAATTCTTTGTAGCTTGTAGCTTTTTTTTTTTTTTTTTTTTTTTTTAACGTGGGACTCTCTATTGATTCATGAGAATCCTTTTATCAATCATACCTAATATACCTAATATGACTACTGTAGTAATATTTGTTATTTCTGTTGTCTTCTTGTCCCGAATTGATGAATGTTTCTGTCTGCATTGTTTCCATTTTATTTTAATTTTTTTTTTCAGGTTACTCAAAGACTGTCCTGGTTTTGTGTTTACCCCGAGATCAAGGGAGGAACTTCCACCAAACTTTCCTAGTGACATCCCTGGAATCTGTCACTTTCTGGATGCTTATCATCATCAAGGACCTAATTCTAAGCCATGGTTCCAGCAGAAAGATGTGGAAGATGGAAATGCCAACTTCTTAGGCAAAGCATCAGGAATAGACTAGTGAGACACGTGCTAATGTGTTTGACTCCTTTGAGGACTTGCAGAAACTCAGAAATGACTTTAGGATTACAGAAGATGAAAAGCAGTGTTAAAATTTCAGGGACTAAGTCCTCAGCTCCTCTGCCTCCCACTTAACATGACACAAAAAAGGGTTCACTTTAGCGCTCCAACCTTCTTCTATTTAAGAAACAAACAAACCTCAAAAGTCGCTTTTGGGGACATAGCTTTGTTCTGGAACAATCACTACTTGCACTAAAATCCAGCATATTGTACATATCCCAGGCAACTGTAGTTAAGTTCAACTTTATAAAGCAATGGATTCACCTACAGCCCGTGCTCAATGCAACTCTGTGGTTATAAAAGAGTGTTTGTTGTAGTGTCGCCTTTAAAATCTCTGAATAGAAATCATAGTGTTTAATTCTCTAAGAGCTTCTGGCCTTTCAACCCTGAGTCTCATTAGATTTCCTCAATTGACCGCAGCTTATATAACACAATAGGCCCGCAACTTCGTTTCAGCTACATCTTTGTGTGTATGTATATTTCCTTCCTTTTCTTTCTTCTTTCTTTCCCCCTTTCCTTTTTTTTTTTTTTAGAAAATAAGCAATTAGACATTAGATGAAATATGATATGAAATAATACTGCAATTATCAAAGAATATTTTCATGTTTCACATTAAAAATATTCTCTGTAGCACAATATATCATAAAACAAATACTTTTTCTGTTTTGAGTCTATATGTAATAAAACCTATTTTATTAAATAATGAAAAGTTACTTCCTATTAATCCATGTAAAACATATTAATAGCAAAAAATTTCTGAATAAAAAGACTCATAGCCTAAGTTAAAATGTAATAATATCCTAATTTAATTAAGGTAATGTGACATGTGATTAAAGTCTTCATACAGAGAGCTGCGGTGGAGCACAGTGGTAAAGTGTTCTCACACATACATGACCAGATGATCCTCTACTGCCATGTTGAGCCAGGAAATGCAAGGGGAAATGTTTTAGCTCACAATAGAAAGTGAGACTTGTTTTTTTATCTTTTTTGATAGCTTCTTAAGTATTTCTGATGACCATTTTAGTGTATGTGTATGCATTAAGATTCAAGTTTTGTATTATTTGGTGTACATCTGTGAAATTTTTATTCTGGTTAAAATATCTTAATGGCATTTTCTAAAGAAACCACTAATACCAATGGAGAAAAAATTACTGTGGTTTCATTGTGGGGATTTCTAAACATTTTTTTCTGGGGTTTGAACTAATTTTCTTTCCTCCTTTCCCTCCTTTTTATCCCCCTATCATTGTGCATGTAAGTGTGATTCTGGGGAGTGAACATCGAGCTTGTGCATGTTAGGCAAGGGCTCTGTTATTGAGTGAGTCTCGGCAAGGAGCTTAATTTTTATTGCCAGTGATGTCAGTTTTACTCTCCCCATAAATAAGTGCCATGGTTCAATTTGGTAAAAGGATATGTTTTTAAAACAAGATCAACTAAAGCAAGAGAAAGATTCACAGTCGAGTTTTTGAATCAGCATTAGAAGTGTCATAGATGTTCTTACTTTTTATGCATGGATTTGAAAAGAAAATCCGATTTAAAGTCCATTACTACCTTCTCTAGTCTCCAGGCATTGGGAGTAGTAGTCATCCCTTGCCTAGCTCTGGTTTCCCAGGGGTACAACTAAAACACTCTAGGCTTTCTTAAAAGGCTGGTAGTGTCTCATTAAACACTCACTTTCTCTCTTTGGAACTAAAATTCATTACAAAGAAAGTAATAGGAACTGAAGGCAATTAGAAGCATCAAGCAGGACATCGTTCTCATCACCTGTGTATTTAGGAAGTTACAATGTTAGTAATAATCTGACTCAGAAGCTTGCACATTAATTATAATTCCACACTGTCTTTTAGGGATGGAGATATAGCTCAGCAGCAGAGTAAACTGCCTAGCATGTATACGGTCCTGAGTTCCAACCCAAGCAGTGGGAAGAAACTATATTTATCTCTCATGTGTATATGATATATGATCACTCTCACCTGTGTACACCTGGAGCAAATGAAGGGACTGTACAAAATCCAAGCAAAAGAAGTATGGAAGCCCCATGTATAATTCCTGTAACTCTTCTATTACTTTTGCATTTTATCTAAATAAAAATACTATCAAAAATTGGTTTCCTGGAGCAACTCTCTGTTATAGGTTCCCCAGAACTCCTCGTGAGGGCCTATTAACTATTCAAAAAGAAAAGCAAAACCATCTCCTTCTGCCTCTGCAACAGTGTTAGAGCTGCTAGACAAGGAACATGTTGCACATTAAAGGGTATGGATGATAGATTATGTGTGTTTCTCAAAGATAGTTTCAGGAAATGCATGGATGACAATGAATATTCGTGAGCAGTAGTGACCCCTTGAACAGTTGCTTCTGTCTTGGTGGAAAACAGACTGTGCTATACATTGGGTGTTTTGTCAGAAAAATGAACAAAATAACTGAGTCAATATAGTGCTTCCAAGTGTGATGACATCTGTTCATGCCCAAGATTGTAACGTGTTCATGCCATAGCTGGAAAGTTAAATGAATAAAAAGAGGAAAGGGAAGGGTCTCACTACCCAGTTGGGCATGCCTTACTTTGCTAACAGGTCTCCCACTAGCCCCCATCACCACCTACCAAGAGTGCCAAACTGGGGGAGAAATCTTGAGCACATAGGCCTTTGGGGAACAGTCACACTGTTCTATACTACTGCAACTCCTGACTTTTCATTGAATTGTAAAAGAGTTTGACTTCAATTACATACTTTGGTGATAACACCCTTTGTGTGAATTGGACAGTTACATGGAGAATTGAAGGGTGGAGGGACCAATGCATCATACCTGTGAGGGCTAAGAAGGTAGTTATTAATGTCTTCCCCCAAACAGAAACTACTCAGCAGAGAAGAGGGGACGGGCAAGCCAGGTACAAGCAAACAGCTAGGGCAGCTTTAGTTTGCTTTATTCCACAAAAAATGGCCAAAAAGCATTTCCAATCCAGATTTATAGTATCATAAATAACACGCAGCCTTTGCTTGGGAGACTTTTCAGGTCTTGGAAAGTCATTGTGTCTTTTAGAGAGACAGAGAAGAATCACACTTGCCACAGAAGCGATCATTCCCTTGTAGTCTTTGTTGTACCCAGTTTCTAATCTTAGAAAGTCAATGTTTTGGTATGTGATGGGGCTGTTCCCTTTAAATGTTTCTTTTATTATACCAATGATGTGTCTCATTTAATATTTTTTATCAGAGACCACCTCAAATACTGTGTGTTATTAATCTTTGTATTTCCTAGCCACGTGCCCATATATTGTGAGCAGCCCACATAATTTTTATGTAAAACTTTACTTCCTTGTCCATTTCCAGTTCTTCAAATTTGATGTTCCTATAAGAAAATAGAAAAGTCTCCATAAATGGACAGAATTTGTTAAACTCAAAAACTTAAGTAAAGGGGAAAATGTGATAGTCTCAAAACCACACTTCTGCCATTATCAGGGAGATTCATTGCCCTCATATTGAAGTTACTTTCATGATATGTCACTGTGTTAGTCTTAAAGATAGCAGTTAAAATCAAGTCAAAATTTAAATAGCAGATGTAAGACTTAATCTAAGATATTCCCTAAAAAGACTGTAGAGAGAAATAATTTTCAAGCTTTTAAAATTTTTTAAACATATGATGCCATAAAAAGAAATTGTAAGTGAATCTCAAAGAGTTTGAAGAAAACTGCTTAGGAGAAAAATGCCTGCATGATGCCCAAGTCCTAAAAGCCTGCTGAGATGTTTATTTACTCTGAAATACTGCCAAGCCTTCCCTTATGGTAGAAAGAATTATGAGGTAACCAGAATGAACTAAAACAAAGCAAAAAACTTCATTATAGATTAAAAAAAAAAAAAACACACAGTAGAAAAAGAAAAATGAAGATTGGTGGAAAGTTATGGTGATAGCAATTGTGGATTCTGAACCTTTATAAATATTGGAGCAATTTCTAGTGATTATGGTTCTATAGCCTTCAGGCAGTATTTATTCACAACAGCTACCCACAATGAGCAGGTATGCAGTACATTGTTATTAACTTTGGAAACTATTTACCCTGAATCCTCGAGCCAATACAGAAATAATTGTTTATGTTGGAATTGCCCATTATGAGAAAAAACCAGACATGACATCCACCTTTGATAGTCCATTTGAGTTGCAAGTAAGTGAGATATATCTGTTGTCTGTCAGATTCCAGGTCCATCTCATACCTCACAATGTGTCCTTTCCTGTCTATATTTCTATTATTACTCTCTCACAAGCACTTGATGAGTCTCTAAGATGTTCCATCTTTTCTCTATCATCTTTTATACCCCCACCACACTCTTCTGTAATGTTCTGCATACAGCATTCTAAGCTTTACTAACCTGTTCCTCCAAATATTATATTTCATCAATACCAGTCTCTCAATTATCTCTATATTTCCTATTGCGGTAAATAAGGATCAGGATAAACAAATAGGCCGAATAGATGTTTATTCAGGGAGAAATAACTTACAACCTAGACAGATGAACACCAGGAAATTCAACCCGATCCTCTCCTGTCCGAGTCACTCCAGAAAGAGAGAGAGCCTTTCCTGGCCCCCTCCGACCTCCTTCCACAGGTCACTTCCGCCCATGGCTCCACCTCCCAATGGGCGTGGTCAGTGCCACAGAAGGAGACAAAGTGAATATCCCACTACAATTTCCAGGTACACTTAAAGTAAATACTCCAAGACTTGGTTCACATCATCACCACAACTGAGGTGGACATCATGAAGAGAAAAAGTTAGCTCAGTTTAAAAGCTAAAGATCAAAGAACACAGTGCCCACTCTGCTAAGGCCTCATGGTTGAACACGGAGTGTTGGTAGGAATAAGAGGACACATAAAAGTTAGGAAGCCAGGATTGCTTTTTGTAACATTTTATTTATTTTACATGTATCTGTGTTTTATCTGCATAAATGTCTGTGCATCATGTATGTGTCTGATGCCCAGGGAGTGAAGAAAAGGAAGTCAGATGACGTGGGACTGGAATTACAAATGGTGTGAGCAGTCATTACATGACTTTCATAGGAATTGAACCCAGGTCACCTAGTAGAGCACTCTTATCTACTGATCCAGCTCTCCAATCCCTAATAGTTCTCTTTTGAAGGCAGCTCTTTCTAAGAAGCAGCTACAGGTTTTCCTTTGTCTTCCCAAGACTGAGTCCCCATGCCCTAAGGATCTATCCCCCACTACTACCTACCTCTTAAGAGTACCATCACCTCTCACATCACCACACTGAGGCCTGAGTGTCCAAAACATGAATCATTTTGAGATGAGCCAAACTACACATCAAATATATCTGTTGATCATTCCACTTGGGCAGAAACATCTTTAGAAGAATAGCATGGTGTATTGACACTACAGACTACCTTAGTCAGCAAGAGGAATATCTAGGAGGACTGTTGTTCATTGAGTATTTAGAATCTCTTTTAAATTGTGGAGTTATCATGTTTCCTTTCTTCAAGTCCAGATAAAGTGAAATGGCCACCTTTACTATGTGAAATGATAGGAAGAGAACAATTGGGGTGATCTACACTATATAGTCTGTATCATAAATATTTATTGAAGGTTACTTTTTCCCAAACATTGTTCTACATTATTTCAGTGATCTACAGTATCATGAGTTGATGGGCCTTGTTCAGAGTAGGCTGAATTGCAGTTAAAACAACACACACACACACACACACACACACACACACACACACACATTCTGTCTTACATAAATACACATATATGTAATATACACACAACACACACATATGTATGTATTTGTGTGTGTATGTGTGTGTGTAAGTACTGAGTACTGAGAGCAGGTGACAGTGAAGACACCTTCAAACCTCCACGGAAAGAGACTGAAGTTCTTTCTTCTCAAATCAGGAAACCTACTTATATGCTCTCTGGTTTGTGTCTGTCTGTCAGTTGGTGCACTTATTTCACACAGCCTGGAATCCATTAGCTCCAGGGAAAGAAGAAACACACCCAACTGAGGAGCAAAATGCATCCTCCCTATTATATACACTTGAATTTACAATGAGAAGGGAAGGGCATCTCTGAAAAGGCACACACAGGAAATAAAAAATGCTATCTCTTTGCAAACACGGGTACATGTCTGTTTCTGACAGGTGTGGACAGGACTGTCACCTCTCATTCACTTCAGCATGAGTAAAAAGGGACTGTGGGGTTTCCTCCCTCCCCTTTCCATCTGCTTAATGGAGAATAAACATGCTTTTAAACAAATAGCTCTTACACTCTGGCTGCCTCACCTACCTAACTACACACTGAGAGTAACTTCTTTTCAGGAGGAATTTAGAATAAAGAATGGGAGTGCGACAAGGCATATTTTAAGAGGCTCTCATACGGAAGAACTGGAGATACTCTATGGAACCTTTTTTGTAGCTGATACAGCATCCATAGGGATCTAGAAGAATCTCACAGAAAGCTCATGGACATTGGATGTCCTTCACTTTTTATTATAGCCAGACAGGAGTGTGAAGGACAGGGCATTACATGGACAGTTCCCTTATATTTGATTCATTTACTTGAAAGCCTTGCAAGAAGCGGTTTGGCTATTAAAGCAACTGATTATAAAGCCCATTATGTATCATGTTAATGAAAACCTGAGTGGCTCACAGAAGTCTGCTTTTTAAATCAAATTCTACAAGAGTTTATAAAATCAATTTTCAATCTCAGGAATCCATTTCAGTGCCTTTTATCCCAGATGAGTACTCACCTAGTGGATGGCAAGCATGGTTGGCTGTTGAAATTTCCATAACCATGTGTATTGCCTGGAAACCATTTCATTGTATCCCCACTTCTTAGACCATGGGAGTATTAAGTGGTACTCAGGACATCAATTCTCCTTAGATGCTTTCTATCTTGCTTACTTTTTTTTTTTTTAATTTTTTAAAATTTATTTTATATAACAAAGTCCATTTAAATGAAAACAAACATTTATACACAATATTTGGGAATTTGGGCGTCGTTCTTTCCAAACTACTTCCTGCTGGTAAGGGGCACTGTCATGGGGGATTCGAAGAAGATTCAGAAATCCTGGCTGTAGTCTGTAAGGCTGCTTTGTCCAGCTGTTTT